CTTGTCCAGCGACTAAATTGGGGTTCCAATCAACTTCTATTATGACAATCTACTTGTCCAGATAAAAATAAGAAAAAACATTTGAACCAAAACCGTATTTAAATCTGAAGGTGCTTTTAGGATTATGTGGGACTTTTAAAACAAAAAAGGGGCTTTATGGCGACTTGCACATTTAATATTTTTAACATTACGCTGTTCATCTCCTCCTCCCCGCCTGTCTGCAGCACCGCACCCAGGGACTAGCAGGGAGGCAAGAGAACTTGCAGTGTAACGAGCATCGATCGGGGTGTTCCTCAGGAAAGGGCAGTGTCGGGCTTATCCTTTATCCCGTTCACTGCCAGAGCCATTTTTGCATTTCCTGCACAAATGTAAAAAATAATTTTAGGTTTGAAGATTACGCAAAACATTTCCTTAAAGCAGACACCCTAGAGAATAACATAGTGGTAGTTTGAATTTAATGTCACATGATATTACTGCACATTTTCAGTAAAAAATGCACTTGATCATTTTAGGGCACAAAAAAAAAAAAAAATAAAAATAAAAAATAAATTACCCTATTTTTTGTAAAATATGAGGTTGAACCAAGTAAATAGATATCCATCATGTCAAACCTTAAATTAGAATGTGCTCGTGAAATGGCGACTGACTTCAGTACCCTATATTTTCTAAAGGCAATACTTTTTCAAGACCCTTATAGGTCATCAGTATAGTGTTACGGAGGATGTCTCGTACTAGAATTATTGCTCATTCTGGCGTGTGCGGCGATATGCAATATGTGTATTGCAAACTACGTTTTCATGCATAGACGCCCCAGAGCGTGCTTTTATGTACGCATGTGCTTTTGTGTAACCAACTTTTTACAATCAAAAACAAGAAAAAAATTTTTGCTCAATTTTGCCATCACATAGGGGACAAAGTCCCCTATGTGATGATTTTTGGTGACAGGTTCTCTTTATTGAGACATTAAAGATCTAAAAGACCCTGCATGTCTCCCCTGTACTCCACTGAATAATGCAGTGCACATCGTACCGCATTACATTCTTTCCTGGCCTCTATGGCAAGAAAAAAATCTGTCAACGGGGACCCGGAAGTGGCATCATAACGTCACTTCCGAGTCTGGAGAAGGGGAGGGGAGGAGATATGTCTGCTCTCCACCCTCCCCTCTTGCAGACAGCGGTGAACCGGTCCCGGGCCAGCAGATGAGCAAGCGAAGCCTTCACAAGAGGGGAGGTTCACATGGGAAGGAAGAGGCAGGCACTGTGGGCTGCGTAGAAGCAATCGGGCAGCAGCGCAGTCGCCTGAATGCTTCCACCCAACAGGTGAGCCCTGCTGCTTGTCCACAGCAGGGCTAAAAGGTAAAAAAAAAAAAAAAAACAAAACAAAAAAAAAAAAATTACCTGCCCAGTGCCCAGAACTATATGTCCGTGGTTTCGGGCGATACAAATTCAACATCCCTGTATACTGTTAAATTTCTTTGTTGTTTGTGTGATTTGGGTTACTTTCACCAAACAGAGACAGATGTATTACCCATCACACACATTGCTCAGCATAAGCGAGTGCACCCAAACAGATTTGTCAGAAAACCTTTCCTTTCCTTTCAGAATCAATATTTTCTATGGTACACTATACTACAAAATACTACCACAAATGCGGGCCATTGATTCCAAACAAAATTTGTTAATTTGTACACACAGGTATTTCCTAACAAATGAATTCAAGACCATGCTGCATAAAATGAATACATCCCAATGAAAGTCTTAGGAAAAAAAAGATTCAGGTGAGTCTAATTATTTAAACAGGTGACAGGCAGACAGTTGATTATAAAAGGGCGTTAACCACTTGGCCGCCACCCTATAGCAGAAACACTTCTACAAGGTGGTAGGGGTGTGCAAAATCAGGTATATATACGCGATTTTGCATGTCCGGGAAGGGGGGGGCGCGTGCACCGTACCTGCACCGCCTTTCGCGGCCTCGGCTGTAAATCACCGGGTCCCAGCCGGTGATTACTCGCTGTTATCTGGTCACTGTCAATTAATACCGACAGGGGGGAAGAACTGTATGTACACAAAGTTCTCTCCCCTATCGGCTCCAGCACACTGCTTACAGTGGAAAGCACTGACACACAACCCCGTAGTAACACACACTTAACCCTTTGATCACTCCAGATGGTAACCCCTTCCTGCCCAATGTCAGTAGTACAGTGTCAGTGCTTTTTACTAGCACTGATCACTGTATTAGCGTCACAGGGCATGTCAGTGACACCAAGTCAGTTACCCCCAGTGCCAGAATGCCCGCCACAGTCCCGCTTTAAGTCACTGATCGCCGCCATTACTAGTAAAAAAATAAAAATTCCAGTATTTATTATTTCGCCATTTGTAAACACTATAACTGTCACTTAAACCAATTTACACAAAGTGGGATTTTATTTTTAGCAAATACATGTTGCAAAATACATTTTGCCTTAAATTTATGACGAAATTTGTTTTTTCGACACGTGTAATAGCAAAAAGTAAAAAAAAAAACCCAAAAAACTAAATAGTTTCCCTTTTTGTTTAATTTTGTAAATTTTATTTTGGTGCAGAGTTGCATGACCGAGTAATTGTTAGGTAAAGTAATGCAGCGCCATAACGCAAAAAATGGCCTGGTCAGGAAGGGGGGGGCGGGGGGTAAATCCTCTGGAAGGCAAGTGATTTAAGAAAACCCTTCCCATTTCATGCCATCAGCAATGGCACCACATGGAAGAGAAGTGTGTCAAGGCCTGAGAAAGAAAATTTCTTTACACAAAAAAGGTGACAGCTACAAGATGATCAGCAAAGCTTTACTTATCAGTCAGAATACTGTAGCAAAAGTGATACAAAAATTTAACAAAGATGGAACTGCAACCATCTCACAGACGTCCAGACAGTCTACAGAAGTTATCACCTCAACAGGAGTGTCTACTGACGAGACGGGGTGAAGAAAAATTGCCATGCAAGTTCACTGCAGTTAGCCAAGTAGAAAGAAACTGGGGTAATTGTTTCCAGTGGCACAATACGGCATACACTGCAGAGGAATGGCATGCAAGCGTGTCATCCATGAAGGAAGCCTCTCCTAAAGCCCATGCACAAAAAAGCCCATCTAGAATTTGCCAGGGCCCATAATGAAAAAGAAGACTACTGGGACTCTATACTCTGAAGTGATGAGAACAAGATAAATGTATTTGAAACAGACGACATCAAAACAGTACGGCATCGCAAAGGTGAGGAGTACAAAGAAAAATGCATGATGCCTTCAGTGAAACATGGTGGTGGCAGTGTCCTTCTGTGGGGCAGCATGAGTGCTGCTGGTATCAGAGCTGCATTTCATTTGTGATATCATGAATTCACAGATGTACTGCTCTAAATTGAAAGAAGATGCTACAATCACTCTGTGCCCTTGGTTGCCGTGCATTTCTGAAGAACAGGGTGAAAGTGATTCAGTGGCCAAGTAGGTCTCCTGATCTGAACCCAATCGAACACCTATGGGGAGTTCTGAATAAACAAGTTGAGCATCACTCTCCATCCAGCATCCAGGCTCTAAAAGAGGTTGTTCTTGAAGAATGGAGGAAAAAAACCCCCAAAAAAACACAACAAAAAAACAGATTTTTCAGTATGTCACCAACTTGTTCATTCCATGCCTAGAAGACTAGGTGCTGCCCTTACAAATCGTGAAGATCATACAAAATACTAGATGGGAGTAGTTTTTGTTGTGGGGTGTATTCAGCAGCTTTACTCAAATTAGTTGATGCAAAAATGATTTTGTAATCCAAGTTATATCAATCTTACTTTCACGTAATGAGCTAAATATTCTATAAAACTCACTTTTGTAAAAATTTTGGAAATTACTTTTGTGTTCAGTGAGCTAATGATTAAAATCTTACTCTTCAAAAAGGGGTGTACTCATTTCTGCTGAGCACTGGATAGCTAAGATAGCTAGAGATCAATCCTGATGTACTGACAGCCGATCTAATTTCTTAAGGCCTGAAAATGCCAGGACTGTACAAATATCCCCCAAAATTACCCCTTTTTGGAAAGTAGACAGTCCAAAGTATTTAGTAAGAGGCATGGCGAGGAATAAAAAAAAAAAAAAAAAAAAAAGTTGTGAAAAACAACTATTTTTTTTTAACACTGCCACCAGTGCAGTTACAGCATCATAACTGGTGTGGTGGTGATCAGGGACACCTACTGGTGACAATATGTAAAAGAAAGTAAATTTTTCTTTAAATTTTTTTTTTTTTTTTTAAACATTATGGTAACACTATATTGCTCTAGTTACTGTATTACTTTGCGGAGGTAATCAGGATTATTTTTTTAATTTCAATCTTAAACCAGGGGTATACAAACTTTTGAAACAAAAAGGCCAGTATACTGTCCTTCGGACTTTAGGAGGGCCGGATTGGGGCCAGTGAGGTTAGAAAATGTCCTGACCCCAGCATCAGTGAGAATAACCATGGCCTCAGGGTTGATTGTCAGTAGGAGGCGGGAGTGCCCCACCATTGGTATTAGTGGGAAGAATAGTATGCCATCACTGGTTTCATGGGAAGAAGTACAGCCCCATTGTTGGTCTCCGTGGAAGGTATAGTGCCCCAAGGGCTGGATAAAAGGTAGCAAAGGGCCACATCCGGCCCTCGGGCTGCAGTTTGGAGACCCTTATTAGAAACAACCATTTTTTTCAGAATGAAATCCATTCAGCATCTACTATTGTGATTAATCCCATATGACATCCTCCCAGAAGGGCGAATGTCCTGCCCGATTCTATATTAAAATGACAATGTGTAAAATACATACATACACACATATATATATATATATATATATATATATATATATATATACATACATACACATACATACACACACACACACACACACACACACACACTAGCTGGCAAAGCACATAATATTACATATTTAAGTAAAAAAAAAAAAAGTCAGATTTTATAGTAACAAACAAAAAAAAAACCAAAACACCACACTACTCACTTTTCCCTATCTGTTTTGTAGATCCGTGCAATCTCTGGCACTAGAGGGTCATCTGGGTTTGGGTCACACAACAGTGAACAAATTGACAAAAGAACTGAAAGAAAAGTTGTGCAAGAATCAATCATAAAGTAGTAAATATTTTGTACATCATACAACCCTATTCAAATAAGAGCCGAAAGAGCTTGGAGAACAAAGATTGGGGAAACTAGGGTTTGTCCATAGCAACTTTATTTCCAAGCTTACATTTAAAAACACACAACAATTAATGTGGGGACAATATAATCCATTATCAAAATGCCAAAACTGCATCAAAATAGTAACATAATTATGTCAATATAGGACACATTTTACACTCATGACATGCTGGTCAGGAGGGTCAAAGAACATGAAAAAAAAAAAAAAAAAAAAAAACAAGGGGGGAGAGATGGGTGTAATAGTATGGTTAAGGGGAGAGTGAGAGGTGGGAGGTGGAGAGAAAGGAAAGCGGAAGAAGAAGTGTGTGCGTGCGTCCTTGTTTAGATAGTCCCAATTAGGTTTTTTTTTTTTTTTTCTATACAATTCCATTCCAAGACTGGGCAAAAAGGAACATTTTTAAATCAAAGCAATTTTTATTGGTTTTGGACTATGGCAAGAGACCTTACCCTGCTGCCTTGCATTACTTGCCATTAGGGGAAATTGTGTGGTTCTAAAGCTTTGCCATTCGCTGCTCATAAATACACAACTGGTATCAAATAAAAAATATAACTGCAGTGACTATACATCAGCTTTAAGGCCTGGTTCACACCAGCTGCTGAACTGCAGCACAGCAGCTGGTGTTTAGCAGATTGGACGGTTCCTTTTAAAAACAAAAAACGTTGAGATTTCACAAGGACATCTCAAAGTTAAATTACTGGCCACAGTGTGGTTGATTTACTAAAACTGAAGCATGTCCAATCTGGTGCAGCTGTGCATCAAATTTTGCACTCTCCAGTTCTAGCAAATCAACCCCACCCAGTGAAAGGTAGTGGATTGCCTCTCACCATGCTGTGCCAATATAAAAAAAAAGTGGTGTGAACCAGACACATAGGAAATGGCATTGTGCTTTATTCATGCAGTGGGACAGTGCTGGAATATTATTTTATTATCCACCCAACACAGTCCCGCTGTATCTAAGCATAACCCAATATTAATTTTTACAGCATTTTAAAACCAAAAAGCATAGGTTTTAATATACTGCGCATCCCCAGTCATATGAGGAACCTGCAGTTTCCCAGGTAAGTCTGTGAGAAACACAACCTGCCCCTTGGTGGCACTCACTGCACTATATCTGTGATGGAAGCTATGGCTGTCAACCAGAGTGGACTTCAAACCACATCCTTGTTCAACTACTAGGAATGCACAATGGCACTACATTTCTGGTGAGAGCAGGTACTGTATTTGTCAGTACTTGCAAAAATTTTTGCAAGAAAAAAATGTGCATTATATTTTCCCTCAGCAGTCTGCAAAGCATTGCATCCGTGATCTGTGGATAATGGGTGCAATGTCAGGCTCTTTTCCCGTACCCCTGCATGGGCTTATAGTTGGAAAGCTGGAAGTGTCAAAGGACTAAAAAGGACACTCATGCCAATTACCATACTGGTAGTCCAACGTAAAGTCTTGTCTGTTGTGTTGGGAAAGGCCCTGTAATTTATTTACAGATCTGAGAATGAATGACACAGCTGTGCGGGCAAGAGCCTCACACAACAGCGCCAATTTTAAATGCGACAGCAGCTGCGTGGGAGAGGAACCCTTGCTTGCTGTCACAGGAAGAGGACTCTTGGGGTGGGTGCTTAGGAACGTGTTACACTTTAATATTTTGGTGTAACATGTTACAAAAAACAAAAAAAACACACTTGAAATACAAGGAAGACTTTAGCTTTTGAATGACCCAATTTATGCAAAGCATAAAATATGCTTTGCATCTCATTCACAGGATTTCCATATTACAGCATCAATGTTTAGTTTTATTTGTAGAAAAGATTGCAGAAAGTTTATAACCTCAACATTTTCTCATTGTTTCCAAAAAAAAAGGCTAGTTAATAAACTGTGTACCAAGCAGGCCTAAGTCAATGACAACTCACCCTTAGAAATTGTTAAAGCTGGGGACCACTGTGATCTGAGAGAATATCAAGACAAATGCTGCCATTGCTGTTGATATTTGGATGGTAGATTCTTGTTGTAAACGCAACCTGCTCAGATAAATGGCAAAGATGTATGATTAAGTAGTTTAGAGCCTATTCACAATAAGTAAATGGGAGAACTGATGTAGCCCAGCTCACTGTTACAATAGAAAAACCAATGGTTTTATGACCGGAAACCACTGTCAGGAGCAATACACAGAAGCAATGCATCAGTGATACCAGATTTTTGCCGTAAAGCACAAGGCCTTAAGATAAACAAAATCAAACATAGCATTATGACCACCCACCTAATGTTGAGTAGGTCACACTTTTGCTGCCAAAAAAGCCCTGACCCATTAAGACAGACTTCAATAGACCTCTGAAGGTATGCTGTGGTATCTGGCACAAAGCCATTAGTAGCAGATCCTTTAAGTTCTGCAAGTTGTGAGGTGCAGGATACATGTATCAGACTTGTTCCCAGCACATCACACAGATGTGATGTTGAGATCTGACAATATGTAGTCCAAGGCAACACCACAAACACGTGTTCCGAAAACCATTCTTGAACCATTTTTGCAGAGTGGCAGGACACATTATCCTGCTAAAAGAGGCCACAGTCATCAGGGAATACCGTTTCCAGGAATGGGTGTACTTTGACGCTTACCACTTGCCTAAACATCGTTGCTGACAAAAATAACATCCTCATGAACTGCAGGACCCAAAGTTTCAGAGCAGAACATAACCCAAAGCTTTACACCGCATCTGCCAAAAATGTCTAAATGCTAAAGTGAAAGGGTGGAGAGATCAAAAAAAAAAAAAAAAAAAAAAAAGTAGCCAGAGATTCTTTTGAATTGTATATAGAAAAGTGATTGTAAAAAAAAACCAAAAAAAAAAGCCTGCAAATCAAGCAATGCTTGTATTGCCTGTGTCCAAATGCCGTTTGATTTGGGAGACAAGATTCTGGAAAGATAGAATACAGATGTTTCAGCAAACTTCTCAGACTCAGGAAAAGGAAGTTGCTGTGAACTGCCTCTCAGCATCTAAGATGTGGGAAAGGAGCTGGGTACTAGGGACAATGTAACTCACATGTACAGGACTTGTGTCATCAGTGGTTGCCTGATGGCTGAAGAATGACACCAGCCACAGAAACTTAGCTGAAGGTGGCAGGTGACTGCACTGGGTCCAGACCTGTCAGAGCACACTAACCATTAGGGCACTTGCCTGCACGCTAAACCAGAGACGTTTGGTGTGCAGGCAGCTGTCCACTTTGGAGTGCAGTGAAGTGCAGCAGGATGCGGTGTGATGCGTACATCACATAGCTCCCTTTTTTCGAGAACTTTATTTGAAGTGTACAAAGTGACAATGTGGGTGATATCATGCAGCACACATGCATTTTAGCACTCCTCAAAGCTACATTGTAGTGAGGAACAGGGCACATAGAAAACAATAGATTTCTATGCTCCCTAGCCATAACTGGCATTCTTTCAGCAGAGAAAAATGCCAGTCACTGCTCTAGTGTGAATGGGGCCTGAAGAGTGCAATAATGTGCAAGCAGGCTGTGCATACTCACACATTATGGCAAGAGCAAATTTAAATGCCACCTCAATACATTTAGGGCCAGGTTACACATTTCAGTGCACTCTGTATTGAATAGCAGCATGCATCAAAATGCATATTAACAGTGATTCACTCCGTAATACACTAATGGAAAACCGCAAAAGAAAACTAAAGTTTAAAGGATAAGTTCATCTTCGAGAGATGAGCACCGGGTGTGAACGCAGTATGGGGAGAACCTCCCTGCACCAGCTATCACTTTTCGAAAAGAGCATGGCCGTGTGGGGTTCCACCCACATCATTCATCTACAGAGTTCTGTGAATGAACTACAAGTACCAACATCCAGCTTTATTAAATGTACTCTTTACTTGCAAACAAAAGTGCTTTTTTTTTTTTAAAAAAAACTTATCCTTTAAGTGTGAACAGGCCCTGACTCGTTCACATATAAACACTACTTGGCTATTTAATTTGTACTGTTTTTGGGGTGTACTTCCAAGTTAAAACACTAAAGCTTTCAATCAGTGGTTGGCCATAGTACTAGCCATCATCCAACAGAAGATGGAAAAAAAAAACAAAAAAAAAAAAAAAAAAAAGGTTAAAAAGTATCAAATGCATAATAAAAATGCCACATTCAATATACTTTTTTCATAAAAGGAATAAAGTGTTAATTGTCAAATCTGAAAGAGTGAGACTGTCAAAACATTCTTAACTGAAACAGCATAACATTGAAAAAAAAAAGCATCAGAACTAGAGGAAGTTGTAAAAATAAACTAAATTACGAAATCTACATACTTTAGGAGGTTTGAAGGGGTAGTCTGTTGGAAAATGAATGGTCAAGAAAAATACACCGCCTTGATATGGACTGTCATTCTATGAGAAGAAAAAGATAGACCAAATTAGACAAGAAAATTAAACAGGTTTTAGGTTACTGAGACAGCTCATTTAAAGTGTCACTAAACCCACAACAGTAAAAATCAGTCTGTATATGCAGTAAAAGCATACTTGTTATACTCACTGTGGAACCTAAGGGGTTAATCCTCTGCATTGTGTAAAAAGGCTGTTTGATCCTGACTTCTCTGATCCTTCCCTTCTTCCAGTGTCCCCCCCCTCTTATCTCCTGATATTGTGTGTGTACACTACACATAAGTGCCACATCCCTAATATTGTGAATACAAAAAAGGACCTGAAAAATGGGGACTTTTGAGGCACATCAGAATCATGATTTATTTCATATCAAACTTCAATGTATATAAAATAACATTCTACCCTTTTCACAACCGTACTAAAACAAGTAACAGGTGTGGGTAGAAAGCAATGCAAAGGTTACAATATCAAGGAGCAGCACTGTTGAGGAAATCTGTTCCATGTGATCCAAAATTCTTTGTAAACATTGGGTTCATTGGACTTATCTGCTTGGGCCATCCGGATGGTTAGTTGTTTAGTTTAGGCTGTTGTGAAATAAAATATTTATATATTGAATTTTGATACAGAATACATAAAATAAATCATGTTTTTATGATTATGTTGTGCCTCAAAAGCCCCATTTTCAGGTCTCTTTTTTTGGTATAGATTTGCTATATACTGGTGATGAGAAAAAGGTATTTACCAGTTTATATTATTTATATTTATTAAAGTAATTGCAATTCAATGTTCTGTGTAATGTGGGAGACCAAATATAGTGAATGCAAAGTCCTGGGTTTAGTAACACTAACTCCCCATTGAAAAAAAATATTGTACGTAAACCTGTGCTTTCACCATGCAACTGAAAGGCTTTAACTATAAAGCCATTTCTTCCGCCTCCGACACAAGAGGCTACCTGATTCTCAAAAAACTCCACTCAATTCCATTACCCCCTAAAAATTGCTCTTTCCTGGTTTCCTCCTACCCAAGTATGCTTTCAGTGTCACCTATAAAATCTATCTCCTCTTTTCGCAGTATGGTGCACCAAGGCACAGAGCCTCTGAAACCTTAATGACTTTCAATATTATCCCTAATCTGGTACCATGCAAATCTCCCCACCCCTCAGCTCGCCCCTTCAGCCTCTGTGTTTCATCACTTCTTTGAAGCGGATTCCCATGTTTTCTGTAACTTTAAAGAAATCCTTTGAAACAAGTTGGCCCAAACAAACCATTTCCTTCCGTAACTGCTGAAGCAAATCTCAGTGCTATAATCGACGGTATGCTGCCTCTGCTACACAGTAGACATTGCTGTGTTCTGTGTGATAACTTCCCATTTCACGCAGGGGGGGAGAAAGACGGAGCGGCGCTGATCCATTCATAGGCTTTTGTTCTATGACTACAAAGTTTCCTCTGATGGGCTAAGGCGGAGAGGCAGGCTGATGACCTCACAAACTCTGCTGCACCCAAAAGGAAGCCTTGTATTCATAGAATACAAAGCTGTTTATGAATGGCTGAGCTCCACTCAGTCTAAAATTTTTGTTCTGCGAGATGAGAAGTTCTAGTCTCCCAGCCGAAACAGTGCTGTGTACTGCATATAACCGAGGCTACATGCAGTTCATACAGTGCCAACAGCCTCTGTAGCAGCTTTTAGAAGGAAATAGCTTGGTTCAAACTATCTAAAATTAAACAAGGAGATCAGCTTTACGATTTTATTACTTTTACAAACGCTTTTCTTGAAGTCCACTGACTGACACAGGAATTCTGAAACAGTAGGGTTATATTGCACCCTACAGGAAGTTGAGACACTGGCAAACAAAACCTCACTCCTAAGTTTTGTTAGCCAGCAGTACATAGGGCCAAACACAAAAGGGGGAGGGACCCTTGTCCCTCAATAGACTTTATGAAAGTACAATTCTCTGTGTATTAAAGGGGCACCAGAATTAACAGTATGTCTAAAAGCGGTCCAACTGAGGGTAAACCTCATGTTTTAGTAAAGTACAGGTCTTGTATTATATAGGTTATATGTTGCCATCTCAGATGATTGTACAGTAAAAGGACTTCTTAGACCATGGGACATACCCAAGCAATAAATTGAGGTGTGTGCAACATAGCCAAAACAGAACTGCCAACAGGCCAACAAGAAACAAATCTTTAAAAAGAGAAGTATGGCCACAGCTATTTTGGATATAGTTCTCCTGGGGATCACAGCTGACGTCACTCATCCAGGCCCTGGATCAATCCCAACTGGACCGGTAGCCAGCTCAGCCTCTCAGCAAGCTGCTGCGAGAGTGAGCCAGCTGCTTGCACCCTTTCCACAGCCTGGTGCTCCAGTGAGCACTGGAGGAGCAGAGCGTCGGCGACTGTCACTGAAGACTTAGAACTGAGCGGTTATTGGTTTATGATAAGTCAGTTCTCAGTCTTGAATCTGTGGGGGACAGATGCAGCATCAAATCAATGCTGCATCCACAGATGTATAGAATTTTTTTTTTTTTTTTTTTTTTTTAAATGCATACTTCTAAGAATCAGACCGAAACACACTTGTATGCGTCGGCTGCAACGTGCTTCAAGCCATCTATGAACAGAGGACTGACCACATACATCTGGAAGAACTGTGAAAATGGAGAACCAGGTGGCAGCCTTGCATATTTGAGAAGTAGATGCCTGACAGGGAGACCAACAGCCCTGGTGGAATGGGCTCCAATAGGGAAAGGAGTAACTGTTCCCTAATGGCGTATGCCCTGTAAATGAGAAGCATGATCCAGCTAGCAATGGTTGAAGAAAAAGCAGGCTCAAGAGAAGACAAGGAAGAACTTGCAAAGAAAGGCTCTGACTTTCAGATAGACCCTGAAAGCCATGAGCACATAGAGGTAATGCAGAGAAGTTTCCTTATGTCATGGTGTAGAACAAAAAGGGAAGAACAAATGTCCACAATGGAGTGGAGACCACCTTCAGTAGGAAGGTCCTTGTGAAAAAAACCATAAAGAGTTGCCAACTGAAAAACATGCCTAACAGATGTAACAGCTACCAGACAGGCAACATTACAAGCGAGATCTTCCAATGTAAAATCTGACTGCATCAAAGAGGTCCCTGGATCTAAGCCTGGTGCACTCCAATTCAAAGGTGACATAAGAGATTGAACTGGGGGAGAATCATGAGCAACTCCCTGAAGAAAGTCTTCAGGAATTGCAAAGTCTTGAGGGTATTCTGGGACAGATGCTGGCCAAGACCAGACTAAAGAAAGGCAAAAATAGGAGTGTTCAACTATTCCTTGGTCTTGCACCAGCAAAAGTAATTCTTCCATGTGCAATGATAAATCTTACAGGTGGAGAATTTTCTTGGTCACAGTACGGTGAGAAAAACAGTCAATTACCTCTATATTTTAGACTTGAGTTTCAACAGCCATGCTGTTAAAGCCAGTGACTGAGAAGCAGGATGAGAAATTGTACCTTGGGCCTGAAGGTCTGGTCTGTCTGGAATAAGGCTAATCCACAAGAAGTCAAGAGTACGTCTGTGTGCCATATTGTTCTGGGCCGATTTGGTGCAATGGGAAATTGTTGGGTGCAGAGATTAATCCCCAGGGAGTTAATGGCTTAGGAAGCCCACCTGCCACTCCAAGAATGTGGACGGCCAAAAGAGCTGGAATGTGAATTTATGCCCAGGAGTGTATGAGACTTTTTTTCCCTCTTAGGGAAACCTAGTTTCTGGTGCTCTCTTGATAGGTTATGTAGACTGGTGTGGCACTGTCCAACTGCGGCCTGACTGGGAGACCTTGCAGAAGGGTGTTGTAGGCACAAATCTGATGGCTCTCCGTTACAGGATGTTGAAAGTTTCAACTTTTGTTTGGTACCAGGAGCCCTGGACAGTCAGGGCTGAAAGGCTGGCATATGATATTATCAATCTCCAAGTAATGTGAGGGAAACACTCTTTCAAGTCCAGGGTAGGAGTGGAGATACACCAAGTGAGGAAGCGATGTGGCTGGCTGGACACAAGCGTAGTGCAATCCAAAGGTTGGATTGGCTTTTATTTGGTCAGGTTAGATTGAAGAGGTCTGGCGTGAAACTGGCTGAAAGGGAACTGCCTTGAAGGAGCCTACCCTTAAGCCCCAAATCTTCATGCAGAAGAAAACTCAGTGGTGCCATTTTGACCTGAGGGCCTTGTGCAAGACCTTGGTAAAGGAGATTTCTCTTGGGGAAGGAAAATTATGAGTTGGGCTGTGGAAGATTGCAGGACGTTGCAAGGGCTGAACAACCTTTCAGTGTATGGTTATACATGTAATCTGTACATGAATGCCCTGGGTTCGCAAAAGAGCCAGAAGTAGGGCAAGCACTTTTGTGAACACTTGGGATGCAGACGTGAGCACAAGTGGTAGAGCTACAAACTGGAAAGGTCGGCATCCAACAGCAAACACAGAAAGTGTTGATGTGAGGCATCAACCAGGATGTGTAGATATGTCTACTCATGCCAGAAATTCCCCAGCAGAGCAGAAAGCCAGCAGGGGACAGATGCAGCATTGGACCGATCTGCCTTAAGTATAACTAGGAAAAAAAAACAAATACTTCTCTTAAGTCTAGCACTGGGAGGATGCCCACATTTGGTTGTGGTAATAAACAGGTCTGACTTTAAACAATTTTTCTAAAGCAACTTGTACAACCACTCCTTATACCTGAAATTCGTGAAAGGTGGTCATTAAATATGCATTTTGATTTGAAGCTGGTAGACTGGAAAGCAAAAATGTGAAGATGGAGCAGAGACAGAAGCTATTTTGTATCCCTTTGGATCCAATCTGATTTAAGAGGTCTTGCATCAAAAAATGGCAACAGATGCCCAACCCCTAGAAGTGGGGGTGCCCCTACACTGAGTAGGACTTCCAGAAAGACTTGATGGACTTGGACAACCAGGGATTGTGACAAAAGGAGGTACCAAGTCTTTGGAATTACACCACTGGAGAGTGTGAAATGAAGTCTTTCGTTGAGAGAAGTAGTAGCCATAGCAGTAAGACAAGTTCAAGTTCTCTATTTGTATGTCATGCCCAGTTAGCAACAGTTTGGCAATTCAACATAGCAGCAATAGTCATGGCAACAGACATTGGCACCCCTGCATTTCTGTCCGATGCACCACTTCACCCAAGAAAATTGTTGCACTTACAAACGTTTAGGCATTCTCATGTTTATTTTGTTCGTATTGGTATGACAAAAAAAAGTTGAGAAACAAAAAGCCAAATCTGACACATTCTATGCAAAAACTCCAAAAATGGACTGGACAAAATTATTGGAACCCTCAATTTAATATTTGCCTCATGCCAGGAATAATCCTAGACCCTGACCTCTCTTTCGAGCCCCACATCCAATCACTGGCTAAATCCTGAAGCCTCAACCTCCGAAACATTTCCAAAAACCGCCTGACACCACAAAAAAAAAAAAAAAAAAAAAATTATCCACGCCTTGGTTATATCCTGCCTTAAATACTGCAACTCCCTCCTCACTGGCCTACCGTTACACAGGCTGTCCCCCTTCAGTCTACTATGAATGCTGCTGCTAGATATATACACCTTACTAAACTATCAGCAAAAACGATCAGTAACTGCTGCCCCTCTCTGCCAATCACCGGCTTCCACTAACCCAAAGTATAAAATTCAAAATATTAAGCACAACATAAAGCCATCCACAACACTGCCCCTAGCTACAATCCCCAACCTCATCCACAGATTATCTAAATTGCCCGCTCCTGCTCTCTAGCTCTCTCGTCACCTCCTCCCATGTTCGCCTCCAGGACTTTAAGAGCCTCTGCCATCTTCTGGAACTCCCTACTCCAGTATGTAGGGTCAGCCCCCACCCTGCCTGCCTTAAGGCGATCTTTTAAAACTCACTTATTCAGGGAAGTCTACCCCACCTCCACCTAAGAACTATAATTGAGCCACCTCCATCAGATCATCCACTGCAGCAATCACCTTTTGTATCACCTCCCCCTTCCTTTAGATTGTAAGCTCCACAAGCAGGACCCTAGTATTCCTTCTGTAGTGAAAAGTATTGTAATTGTATGGTGTTTTGATATTGTAAAGCGTTGCTGTTGGCACTATATAAATCCTGAATAATAATATTTGATAGCACACCCCTTGGAAAAAAATAACTGAAATCAATCACTTCCTGCAACCAGCAATGTGTTTCTTACACCTTTCTACTGGAATTTTGGACCATTCTTTCGCCAACTGTTCCAGGTCTCTCAGATTGGAAGGGTTCCTTTTCCCTACTATTGTTTTGAGATCTCTCCACAGGTACTCTATGGGATTGAGATCTGGACTTGCTGCTGGCTCTCCAATGCTTTCTCTGAAACCATTTCTGGGTGCTTTTTGCCACGTTGTTTGGGTAATTGCCCTGCTGTACAACCCATGATGTCCGATGTAGACTCAACTTTCGGACACTGGGCCCTACATTGAACCCCAGAATTCTTTGATCGTCTTCAGATTTCATAATGCCATGTGCACGGTGAAGACATTCAGTGCCTGAAGCAGCAAAGATACCCCAAAACAGTGAAAGCGCGAAACCTGGAAGAAGGCAGCGAAGTACCCGTACGCCACTTTGCTTACAGCGGTCTCCTGTCCACAGTACATTGCGGGCAGTAGTGTAAACAAATCAATTTGGACTCTCTTGTGGAACAGCCAACATGTTTTGGGGATCAGAAATTTTAAACTTCCTGTGAATGTTATATCTTGCCATACAGGACACAAGCAAAGGATTCCAAGACCCTGAGTTATATTAACTCATTGTCAGGTGATTGCACACAGGCAAAGGGGCTCCTCTCCCATTAGCCTACCCGCCTCCGCAAGTCCTCCGTTTTGTGGTAAGAAACGTAAATGAAGGAATTTAAGGCGCTTGTGCTCCAAGTTGTGGAATTTAGAGTCAAGTCAAATTTCCTCTCATACTAGTCCTACAGTACAGGATGCAGGTAAAGTATCCATATCCCAAGACAATGAATGAGAAGGGTAGGCAACATTTACGCAAGCAGGCCTGTTGGCACGGTTCTAACAAGGGTCAAAAGACCCAAATTCAGAGTTCAGCTGCAAGAAGCTGGCGGCCAAAAGCTTAATCCACAGAACACTTCCTTGTTAATGTGAAGGATGAGAAAAGGCTCCTTACAATAGAGCTGCCAACTCAGACGTGTCTCACAAACTTGAAAGCAACCAAAAAGGCCACTTTGCAGGTGAAGTCATCTAAGGGAATATCACTGATGTATTTAAAGAGTGATTTCTGCAAAACAAAGAGAACCAAAACAGATGATATCAAGGAAACACAAGGGGGGGGGGTTTGATGTAAGCTTAGCCTCGATAAGGGTTTTTGTTTTTGTTTTTTTTTAAGTGCAAACTAAGCCAGCTCTCGATGTTTCAGGTTTACCCAATAAGTCTTTAGAGCAAGGTCACACTAGAGACTGCTCTGGACACACACTGCAGCCAAATCTTAAATACATAAAGTCTGTAAAGCGCAAGGTTAAATTTCAGGCTGGACTAGCAAAACCAAACTTCCAGCACAGCTGAGGAAAAAGACACCTAATCTGGTAGGACACCAGCAAAACATTGAGGCAGGGATTTCAAAAGGGGCATGCTTCAACTTAGTTTACCAGTAGACCAACCCCCTGGCACTTAACTATCAGAATTCCTGAATTCTCGTGTCCCTCAAAAGACAAAGAAACTCCCTTTTACCCAATTTACTTTTCCTAAACTTTATTACAGAATTTGGTCAACATTTTAGGGGTTCAATATCCATTCAGGCATTTTTCTCTTACGTACAAACTTTATTAGCTTGTGCATGAAAAAAATATATTACACAAGTGTAGCACACTGACTGTGCGCAACAAAAAAAAAGTCAAATAACCACTCTATGGTTTACATTGTCACTTGTAATTTACCCAACTTTGAACATATTTCATAAAATGCAAGAATTTTGAGAACTTGGTCATTTTCAATCCTTCAAACATGTAATACTCACGGGTCCCATAATTGTTGCTTGCCAGTGAAACACTGCGGGAAGAAAAAAAAAAAAAAAACAAACAAACATACAAGCATGTTAGAAAACAAAACATGGTAACCACAAGTTAACAAATGCATAAAAGAGTTTAAATTAAATAAATAAATCACAGATTACAACACTCACAAGTTTACCTCTTCCAGTACAGGATTAAAGCAGAGTTCAACTCACCCTGTCAAAAAATAAAAGTCAGCAGCTACAAAAACTGTAGCTGCTGACTTTTAAAAAAACAGCCACTTACCTGTCCCGCGGTGTGTCCATTGCAGCCCGTTTCACTGGCCGTCCTGTGTTCCAGGCGCCAGAATCTTGCGGCTTCACAGCCAGGTACCACTGCTCATGTGCAAGTAGCATTGCCCTTCATGAATGGTCCTGTAGTCTTCTGGGACCTGTCATGTGTCCCAAAAGACTACAGGGAGGGAGGACACCTTCCACTTCCGGTCGCCTAAGCGATCGGACCAGAAGTGGGAGCAGGCACCTGTCAAATTCGGGTACCCGCTCCCCCTCCCCAAAGGTTCCAATCCTTAATGGGGAGCAATCCTTAAAGCTGAACTTCCCCTTTTGGGTGGAGCTCCGCTTTAACATTCTCTACACCCAAGGAAGTGGGCCTTCTTCCATGATGCTGCATATAGACGCACCTGTGTTTATGCTAAGGGAACTTAACAGCACGCCCTATGCATGGAGGCTGAGCTTACAGTGAAAGTTTAGAGTCTCATACTAATTACTGGGAACCGGGAGTATAGTATCCAGTCACATGATCCCTGTAATAGCTTTTGATCACTAAGAATTTCCTATAAATTCCATATACGAGTACAGTACAGAACACAGGCTGAATATTTATCAACCCTGGGTTATAGGTTACGTGGCCACCTCCAGTTGATTAGACCCAGGGAAGGTTTGAGGACACCTTGATAATCCTACCACAAGCAGTTAGTCCTCAGGTTTATAACAAGCAATTCAGAGTAAACCAGGAATAGGGGAGGGTGGCCTGTACGTCACATTAAGATTAGGAAATTACAGACAAGTCAAATTCCTCATATCTTAAAAGCGCAAGAGGAGTTTTGTCCTTTGGACAGTAAGCTCTGGCAATACGTTTTATCCATCTAATGATTGTGGCGTGGAAGCAGGATGCCCCTTGCAAGGTCCTGAGGGGGACGAACACAGAGTCTGTGTTCCTTAAGGAAGCGGTTGCTTTGAGGTAGACTGATGGCTCTAAGCACAGGCAGTGGAGGACAATATCCTTGCTTTGGAGCAGGGCACAAAGTGGGAGGAAACAGGTCTTCACCGAGATGGAAGAGTGATATCACATTAGGAAGTAAGGATGGTCTTGGGCTACATACTATCTTGTCCTTGCAAAGCATGAACAATGGTTTATTAACAGAGCTGCAACACAAACATCTGACAGATGTGATAGCAACCAAGAAGGCCACTGTGTAGAAGAGATTTAAAGGGATTTCCTTGATGGGATCAAAGGTGCCTGGGCACCCTGGTAGAAAAAAGGCTTACCTAAGCCACCCCCATTAATATATAGCCCCTACGGATACAATAAAATATAAACAATCCCTTCAGCAGTCTTTTGTTGCCCAGGGATGCACAAATCCTATTCCCTAATGACCAGGATGACATGCAGTGGGGGTTTATTTACATTTAGCCCTGCTGTGGTTAAGCAGCAGGGTTTACTTTTTCCAGGCGGTGATTCTAGTTTCAGTAAAAGCGATCAGAGTAGCCGATTAACCACTGGACTGCTTTTAGAAGTAGCGGGAGGGGTCATCCTATGGCCGCTTGCTGGTGTTTCTCATGCTTACTGTTCTCACTGGCGAGTCCAGGAAACAATCCGGCAGTTCACGAGGCTGGCCATAGATGTGAGGAGAGACCAGATAGTCTCTGATCACTTCTAAGATCTAGGAGGCTGGCAGCGAAATCATGGTTTTGGATGGGTGCATCTGGTTAAGGGCGGATGTAAACAAATCGGCTCAAATTTTTTATTTTGTTTTGATGCTTTCCAGGGTAGAGAGATTTCAAACCCCAGATCTCTCCATAAAGAGGACCTGTTGTGTTTTAACATTATCACAAGGGATGTTTAAATTTCTTAATAGAAGTGATCAAAAGTAAAGAAAAATTAAAAGCGACAGCCTGCAGAGGCGAACGCATTCACAGGTAGAGTACGAATTTTACCCTATTACAAAGGGGTTAATTAAAAAGGTTAGACTATGCCATTACCCAAAAAATCCCAGTTTCTCAAGCAATGTTCATGGTACACAACAGGATATTTAAAATGTCAGTCCACACATGAGTATGGCAGGACGAGTCAGTTCCTGAATTTTCAGGGAGCATTCACCCTCTAGGCAATTAGATTGGACAGCCCCAATGGGGGTTCCTGCAATTAGCTGCGACAGCCCCACTGAAAGCAATGAGAGGCTGCAACAGCAAACTGCACCCACTTACACGTTGACATTCTCCCTGTGCGTCACACACACACACACACACACACACACACACACACCTTTGCCCATCAATTGCACTTCAAGTGAAACGAATGAGGGCTGTGCAATGAGGTGCCTTAGCCTCTATCCATTTATAATGCAGCTTCACAAGCTACAGCAGACATTTTGAAGCTAAAATTTGCACAAATTACTTCCCTTACACATTCCCAAGTAGTGGCAAGTTTTGTTTAACCTTAAAAAAAGGATAAATTAATGTTGCGGCATCTCATTTCTTGAGCCTCAAAAATGTCAGGACAGTATAAATATCTCCTAAATTACCCCTTTTTTGGAAAGTAGACAGCCCAAGGTATTTACTAAGACACATGGCGAGTTTTTTGAAGTTGTAATTTTTTGGAAAATACATTTTTTTCCCCCCCCCCCAACTGTAGGTAAAAAAATATTTGAATTTAGAACTTGCACTAGAAGTGCAAACGAGGAGCAATAATTATTACAAATAAAAACATACAAATTCTTAAACAAAGGCTATGTTTTAGATCTGGTGTGTAGGGGTGCAGAGAATGACATGCAACATTTCAGATTTATTTTTTTTATTTTTTTTTTTAAAAACAGAAATTTCCAACAATCTAGGGAATTAGGCAAGCTTTCCACATAATTAGAATGGTTCCACAAACTGCTGGGAGTGAAGTACACAACATTACCTAAGCAGATAGACCTGTTTCAGGTCTAACTGCGTCACCCATGCCAGTTTCTATTTCATAATGAATTAGAAACCAGTGGAGTGTCTGTACCCAAGACCCCTAATGTCACCTATGAACCAGGCTGAAGCCGCTGAAACACAGATCATGCTGCACCAGCCTCTTCTCCAATCACAGCAGATGGATTGATCACAGCCCAAAACCTGAAGTGACAAAAAAACTCGTTTGCAGCTTCATTAACCAAAAAGTGGGATTAGGGAATGGATATCAGCCAATCTCTCTTCCCATGCCATTCCGCAGAAGGAATAGCATCCCAGGCCCACACAAGTGGTCAGGTGGATCTACAGCAATCCAGATCAATTGCACCTTGCCTGTGTCAATTTGTTTCCATTTCTGCCTCTAGCAACCTGTACACAAGCTTAAGTTTTCCAGGAAAGAATACATGTAAAAGCTTACTGTCATCTCCAACTGGGCCTGCAGAACATTGTGCTGGAGGATCACGAGCCAAATCGTTCAGTTCCTAGGGGAAGGGGGAAAAAAAAGCCTACTTTTAATGAACTTTCAATATAACCAACAAGGAGAAAAAAAGCCAATGCATAAAAGGTTTACATTTATACACAACATATTAAAGTAGCTCTAAAGCCAAAATGTTTTAACCTCAAGGCATTCCCTACATGGGAGGTTAAAAAAAAAAAAAGTTATGGCTGTCCTTTCCATGCCCTCTGTGAAGGGGAACAGAACTGCATCTCTTCTCCCCTCTCTTACTCTTCAAACAGGATGAGCAGCAGCAAGAGCCATTGGCCAAGATTGCCAGTGGGGGACCCCAGAAGAGGAGGGTCGGGGCCACTCTGTGCAATACCAAAAACAAGGAGAATAGAACATGTTTATTTTTAAAATTTGACTTCAATGGACAAATTTGTTGACTACACAAAAGTTTGGTGGCCAGGATAACCTGAACAGACCCGAGTGCCCACCATATTACATTGTAAGCAGGTGGATACAGTGGCGGTTAGAACACAGAGCAACCTGTTTTTAGTGCCAAGTGTGAACTTCACCTTACAGGGAATGTATTGATCAGCAATAAACACAAACAGGGAGCACATTAAAAAACACCCTTTAGGATTTCAACGAAAAGGTGGAAAGTAAAAATATGAAAAATATCTCTACCCAGAAGAACTGCCTTTCCAAAGAGCAGTTAATTCCTAGACGCAAATGCTTCAGTTCAGGGGAAGGTTGGCTTCAACACCCTTGCTAAGGTCCTTGTTGTACCAGTTATAGAAATGTAGACAAACATTCCCTGCCCAATTCACATCACTTTGCCATTAAGAGTGCAATTTTTATAAATTCTTCAGTTAAAAAAAAAAATAATCGTGCGCATACTTTCTCTTAGGGTAACAATAAGGTCTCATTGGGAATGAGTTTCTGTGGTAAAACTTGTCTGACCTGAATGACACTGCCACTAGAATGCTCTCTTGCCTCAGATGACAAGTGTTAAAAAAAATGTAAACCCAACATTTCATATTCCTTATATGCCTGCTGTACCATGTACTTGTATGAAAAAGTACCCTGTTCTCTGTATGCTTTCCTTTGGGTGAAATCTCTGTTCTGTCAGTCCCTCTGCTTTCCTATTAAGAAAGGACAAAACTAGGCAGGACAGCAAAACATGGTCCATTTTCTAGCTGTGCTTAGAACTCTGCCTGTTTTCCTCCAACGGTCAGACTTCTGTTCACCCCCCCCCCCAACCCCCTCTGCAGAGCCATTCACTGGGAAGATCATTGTGCTGCTCTTTCTCCTCCCCTAGCTCATGCAGCTGAGAACAGAGGGTATATGTGTTCACTATAAAAAAGGGGGGGAAAAGTATTTATGTTTTTATCTATACACAAATGTTTTGCTTTTCATTTCTGTTTTAAACTGAATGTTTTACAAGGTGAGGGCTTACATATACTTTAAAAAGTACAAGTGTACCTCCACAAGCATATATTTTCCAATTCCTCCATGAACCATCTTATAAATCCTGAACCCCAACTGCTAACCTTAATAGGGACGACAGCCACAGGCTGTTCAAAATCTTCACACCCACCAGCCAAAAACTCCATCAAAAGCTTGCCTGCACAGTCAGCTGCATAGGACCATCTTCAGTCTCACGAAATAGTCCTAAATAATTTTATGAGAACTCATGATGCAGGCAACACCAGCAGAGGAATTTCAACCGGAGGATGTAAATACTGAAAAATACCTGAGGTAAAACAAGTGACCTGCTTGGGACAGAGATGGGAAATTTGCCTTCTGTTAGTTTTAAAGGGTTACTAAACCCACAACAGTAAAATCAGTCTGTGTATGCAGTAAAGCATGCTTGATAAACTTTCATTCGAAGCTGAACAAAAAATTTAATCACCCCACTGGCAGAGAAAGAGGGGAGCAGCGTCCCGAGTCAAAACAGAGACATGCTATATGTGAGATGGGGTAGGCGCCACTCAAGCCACACCCTCTTGAGTTTCACCCCGCCCATCAGAAGCTTTGTCGCAGAGGCCTCTGACGGGCAGGGTGAACCGCATCAGTGGGCGTGGGCGGAGTGACGGCTGAAGCCAGCTAGAGCTTACATAGCTTTCCATTTGACTGCTGGGGGATCGGTAGAATGGCATCAACCCCTCCTCACATGCTTGATATACTCAAATAAAATTAATAGTACTCGTGAGCCAAAATGTGATATTCTCCCTGTGCAATAAACTTATAATATAAAATAAAAAATAAAACTATTACATAAAATTGTGGTGCATCAACAAGCACACTCATTATCTGTGTAAAAATCAAAATATCAAAAAATGTATTTAAATGTGTCGTGCTCCACAATATAAATAATATCAATCATGAACATGTGACTTTAAATAATGCTATCGTGAATAAACCTTGTGCTTCAAACAGTGCAATATCTTGTGCATTCCAATATATAAATAACGATAAATATATGATCAAAAATTGATATAAAGTCCTCTTTGTGCTTTAGATCTTGCCAGTGCCAATTGATGTGCCGTGCCACACTCCCAGTGGTCAAGAAATAGATGTACGCTCACCTTACTAATTAGCCAGACTAAGTGGCTAATACCGCTTTTGTCCCATCAGGACCAAGTAGTGATCTCCATGCTGAGTACTTATTTCCTTATACGAATGGATAGGCTTGTGCTACCAATTTTCTGCCACCAGGGGTCTCCCTCACTCACTATCCACACAGCCTTAGTGGATGGATGGGGTAAACCTGTGTATTACTTCCTCCTCCCGGTATAGTGGGATATCATAGAAAAAAGGAGCAACAATAGTGCCTTATCCTTTTAAGGTTCAAGTGCTTTTATTAAGCAAAAGTAGCGCACTCACACTTTCCAGTGTCGATATCATACAGATGAACTTGTGCCCAGATCCTCAGTTTGTACTTGCGGCTCGTTCCCACCAGAGGGAGGGGCTCTGACGTCACGACGCTGAAGTGAACGAGCCACAAGTACAAACTGAGGATCTGGGCACAAGTTCATCTGTATAATATCGACACTGGAAAAGTGTGAGTGTGCTACTTTTGTTTAATAAAAGCACTTGAACCTTAAAAGGATAAGGCACTATTGTTGCTCCTTTTTTCTATGATATCCACACTATACCGGGAGGAGGAAGTAATACACAGGTTTACCCCATCCATCCACTGAGGCTCAGTGTGGATAGTGAGGGAGACCCCTGGTGGCAGAAAATTGGTAGCACAAGCCTATCCAATTGTATAAGGAAATAAGTACCATATTTTTCGCTCCATAAGACGCACTTTTTTCCCCCAAAAAAAGGGGGGAAAATGTCAGTGCGTCTTATGGAGCGAATATGGAGCGGGCGGTCCGGTATTTCCACTGCCGCCGTGTCAGAATACCGGGCCGGCCGCTCAGCTCTACAGCGGGACCTTACAGAGATGACTGCTGACCTTTGGGGAGGAGGGGGAGCGGGTACCTGAATTTGACAGGTACCCACTCCCACTTCCGTGGAGTTGTTCTTTCATCTTACCCGTTCCTCTATCCAGCGGCGCGGTCTTCCCGGCTTCTGTAGTGTGGGCATGACAGCCAGGTGCCAAGTGCGCATGCGCAAGAAGCGGTGCTTTTTGTGAATGGTAAGGCGGCACCTGGGACACATGACAGATCCCAGAAGCCGCCGGACCAATCACAAAGCGCAAGTGCTTCTTGCTCATGCGCACTGGGCACCCGGCTGTCATGCCGAGCGCCATTACAGAAGCCGGGAAAGAGAGCACACGGCTGGATAGAGGAACAGGTAATAGCAAAGAACAACTCGGAAGTGGAGCGGGTACCCGTCAAATTCAGGTACCCGCTCCCCCCCCCCCCCCCTCCCCAAAGGTCAGCAGTCATCCCCTTTGCTGTCGCGCTGGTCATCTCTGGTCAGTCTCTGGTCATCCCCGTGCTGTGTCCGCAGTCTCTGGTCATCCCCGTGCTGTGTCCGCAGTCTCTGGTCATCCCCGTGCTGTGTCCGCAGTCTCTGGTCATCCCCGTGCTGTGTCCGCAGTCTCTGGTCATCCCTGTACTGTGTCCGCAGTCTCTGGTCATCCCTGTACTGTGTCCGCAGTCTCTTTATATCAATTTTTGATCATATATTTATCGTTATTTACAGTGGGGCAAAAAAGTATTTAGTCAGCCACCAATTGCGCAAGTTCTCCCACTTAAAAAGATGAGAGGCCTGTAATTGGCATCATAGGTAGACCTCAACTATGAGAGACAAAATGAGAAAACAAATCCAGACAATCACATTGGCTGATTTGGAAAGAATTTATTTGCAAATTATGGTGGAATATAAGTATTTGGTCACCTACAAACAAGCATGATTTCTGGCTCTCACAGACCTGTACCTTCTTCTTTAAGAGGCTCCTCTGTCCTGCACTCATTACCTGTATCAATGGCACCTGTTTGAACTTGTTATCAGTATAAAAGACACCTGTCCACAACCTTAAACAGTCACACTCCAAACTCCACTATGGTGAAGACCAAAGGACACCAAAAACAAAATTGTAGACCTGCACCAGGCTGAGAAGACTGAATCTGCAATAGGCAAGCAGCTTGGTGTGAACAAATCAACTGAGGGAGCAATAATTAGAAAATGGAAGACATACAAAACCACTGATAATCTCCCTCGATCTGGGGCTCCACGCAAATCTCACCCAGTGGGGTCAAAATGATCACAAGAACGGTGAGCAAAAATCCCAGGACCACATGGGGGGACCTAGTGAATGACCTGCAGAGAGCTGGGACCATCGTAACAAAGGCTACCATCAGTAACACACTACGCCGCCAGGGACTCAGATCCTGCAGTGCCAGACATGTCCCCCTGCTTAAGCCAGTACATGTCCGGGCCCGTCTGAAGTTTGCTAGAGAGCATTTGGATGATCCAGAAGAGGATTGGGAGAATGTCATATGGTCAGATGAAACCAAAATAGAACTGTTTGGTAGAAACACAACTCGTTGTGTTTGGAGGAGAGAGAATGCTGAGTTGCATCCAAAGAA